CTCACCCGCACGCCTCAGGTAGAGGAAAAGCGTACAAAAATCAAGAACCACATAAGCGTCCATCAGACAGCGAGCGGCAAAGAGCAGTCACACCCCATCTGCTATTTCGCTTTTTGCCCCCCTTCCTCTCTCTCGTCAAAAGAAAGACAAAAACAAGCATGAGGACGAAATTGCAGGACAAGGCCCAAGGCCGATCACCAACCCTAAGCTCATCTTCCAACCCCTCTCCCCCCTCCCGCCTCCCGAAATGACACTTGAAAAAGCGCGACCGGCGCCCTACCGTTTTACTTCCGTCCTCTACTTGCCGGCGCCTAGCTTCCCGTCCGTCCCTGTGGGGCTCGCCTCCGCTGGCATGCCGTATCAAATCAAAAGGTTCCGTGAAACAGATCCGAATCGCCCAGACACCGTCCGAGAGTAGAAAAACAATTATCAACCATCCAGCCAGTTCATTCGCCCCGTTTTCATCGCCGGGTCATTGCCGACACGGCGGTCCATTCGTGGTTCCGTTTTCGGTTCCATTCGTGGTTCCGTTTCGGTTCCGTTTCATGTTTTTCCGTATATGGTTCAATTTTTTTATTCCGTTCGGTTCGGTTGTTGGTTATCGGTTCCATTTTGGGTTTCCCTACAGGTTCCCATTTACGATCTGATTGCTCCGTCTCCGTTGCGCCTCCCGCCAAGCTCCAAAGCTCTAACCAAGCATCACGTGATAACATCCATATCGGTGTCGTCAGTCAGTGTCATCGTCCATCACCAGCTCCGGGGGCACTTCCCCTGGCGGTTGACAGCGGGGGGGGGGGGGGGNGAAGAGAGAGACGGGAAGAATCTCTAAGGGTTCCACAACCCAAGAGCCCATCAATTGCTGTACGAGAGAGTCATGTCACAAACCCATCATACGGTATATTATAGCAATGCCGACCGCAGCAGATGCAGCGGCAGCACCGACGACAACAGCAGCGGCGACAACAGCCAAAACAAGGACACGGACAGCACAGACGATCAACGGACGTCATCATGACCACGATCTAACTCATCATTTTGTTGCCAGCAGCAACGATGACCACCGGCGATCAACATCATCGTCGTAACGATGATCCAAACCATCATTGCCAATCGATAGCAACAACACAAGAGTTGAATAACAACAACCAAAACAGCGACAACGTTGGCGATCTTCTCATCATCACTACAAACGATCTGAACCACCATCGATCGATAGCAACACCGAAGGAAGCACGTGATGTGCTAGCTCTCACCGTCGGATTCTGCATCGACGGCTTCCCAGTGGTGAGGGCCCATCATATCGAAGACTACATCGTCCTCTTGCCCGTTGTTGTCGCCACCCTCCTCGTCACTGAACGCGCCTATACGCAGATATATATAGAGATACAGACAGGCAGACAGACAGACAGACAGACAGACAGACAGACAGACAGACAGACAGACAGACACATAGAGAGAGAAAAATAGAGACAGAGATTCAGAAAGAGCGAGAGAATCAGAGTGACAGAGACAAAAAGGGAGAGAGACAGACAAGAGAGTAAAAAATAACAGGTTGTAGCTGTCGTTGTAGTTGCTTTCTTCACATTAAACACCGTTCCGGTCTATCCCTACTTCCTGCCCAACTCACGTAGACGACTACCTGACGTAGGCACAAGCTCGAACAGCGTCTGGGCATGCATCCCCGTCCTTGCCGACAGCCTGGCCACCTGTCATGACAGGCAAGCTTACCTTGGTCGTCAGCCACCGCGTCGTGAGCCTGACCTTGTCCGCCTGCCGCGGCCAAGTAGCGTCGGGCCAGGTTCTTGCGACCGTCGCGATCGTCCACACGGACGGTGGCCCACGGCATGTACTCCTTGAACACCGCGCTCACCTGACGGTCGTCAAAAGGGGATTACAGTAGCGGCAAAGGTTCAAGACAGATGACGTAAGGGAAAAACGGATTAAGAAGAGTGCTGTTGGCTTGTGCCGACCATGACAACTACACAGGACTCCACTTTTAAGAGAAAAACGAGAGAATTTCGTTAGCTGCTAGTCCCAACCCTGTCTTAAGGCTAGCCGCTGTATTGTATCAGCATAGACTCCGCGCACGTGCACGTGAAGCAAGGAGTCGCCTTCTGGGGAAGCGGCGGTACCGCGACTGTAACACCGCGTTGCACGTGCGCACGAAGCATCACCTGGCCAGACCATGCGTGCGTGTTTCATCAATCATGTCACGCTAAATCACAGCTCACACATACACGTAATACACAGAGAGCGTTTCCGCCGGCTAAAAGGCAGGTTCAATCCGTGGTTAGCCACACAGAAGGGTAAGGGTTCCTCTCACTGAGGGCTCTTACCTACAACTCCTGCGGTGCCTGCCTTCGATCTTAACGCGACGAGAGTTCCCCCCGTAGTGTATGTACATGAAAACGACCTAGCGCGTTCCCCTGAAAAGTGCA